GGGGCCTCTGTTGTGGTCCCCAAGACTGCTTTCACACAGACTAGGGGGCAACGAGGCTATGTATCCGGGGCCACAGGTGACGTGAGTGTCTGAGCTGTGGAGTTGCTGGGGGCAGGGCGCCCCACGCATGGGGAAGGAGTCACCAATGCACCTCACCAATAATCTCCTAAGAGGGGTTGGCAGAATGTGTGTTCACCATGTAGCCCAAAGGATGTTCCTGTCAGCCAGCAAGGCCTCCAGCAGGACCTTCCGCCCCTCCCACTTCTTTACACAGAAGCTCTTTCTCCTGAACCAGTTAGGTGGCTGGCAGCATCCTTGACAGGCTGGGACTCCTACCTGCAAAAGCCGGAAATTTTCTCCATTTGCTGCAGGAGTCAAACCCACAAGAAGGGGCAGAAACTCACCAGTAAAGGTAGTAGAAGAAGGAGAGGAGATAGAAGGCCAGCTTACACCAGGCCTCCTTCTGACAGTAACTCAAGGTGTCTGCGTTCATGACCGCCGGCGGGTCGTAGGCCAGTTCGGAGCTATCTGCCGGACAGTGAAAGTACCTGCAGAGAAAGCACACGGCATCGTCGGCTCTGAGGCTTGGACGGGACATCTGAAGTCTGGGCTGAGTCCCCCGATGCCAGACTTCCAATCCGAGGAACCTCTGCTAAGCAGCTGTCTGCCTTCTGCCAGAATCACTGCCCAAATTACAGCCCAGGCACGGCTAAAAAGTCGCTCAGCCACTGTCTTCTAGCAGGTAGCAACGCCCAAATACTCAGATCCACCAGTAGCAGGTACACCTCACACACAGCTGCTCTGACAGAAGGAAAACGTGTGCCCTGGTGGCACCTGGGAGATACCAGGAAGGGCCTCCTTCCTCCGGGGATGTGGGTTGGTGGGGTGAGGAGATAGCAGAGGGAGGTCCACAATGTGTATGGATCTGGGTTGCCAGCAGGCACAGGCGCGGGTTGATGTCAGTTGCATATCCGCTGCCTGGTGTCACTGTACCACAACTCTACCATGAACATTCATTATTTGGATTAAACATTAATTACTTTTGGGTTATCCTCCTCCCAGACCCCCTTTTAGAATCCTGAATACTCTGGGAGGGACATCATATTCCCACTTGAGTGTGGAGTATTTTACAGGTAATTTCCTTCTTGATGGAAGGACCCAGAACAGCGGAACAGAATATTGGCCATCGCGGGGAGAGAGCAGCCCCCGAGGGGAACTGGGTAAACCAAAGAGCAGTGGGAGGCGAGAGGTGAACGCAGACTTCGCCTACTTCAAAACATCACCTCGGCCCAGCGTGAACCGGCCTTGCTTCCGGAAGGAGAGAAACTCTCCCACTGCGCTGTGTGAGACCTTGGGAAGTGGTCAGTAGGAGGCAAGTCCTGTCCCTGAGGCCGTCCCTCTGGCCCTCACCAGATGGCTGCCCCCAGGGCCTCATTCAAAGCCGGAGAACAAAGTGCAGCTGAAATCGCGCAGCGGGCTGTTCTTTTTGAGGCTCTGGGACAGGCCGTGGTCCTCGAGTGAGAGCCGGGACCAGACGAGTGGTCTGACGGGCTTAATCACATCGGCTTTGAAGGGCATCCCTGTAACGTAGCAACTCACAGAGCTGGTATTTCAGATCCCTCTTCATCTGCTTCAAAGGACTGCACTGACATTATCCGTCATCCACGCTATGCAGAGAGGACACCGCAAGCCGGATTCAATGACATCTGCCAGGTCTCAGCCCTCCAGGCCACTCACCTCTCCTCTGCCCAGGAGCAGATTTCACAACCTGTTTGCTTTTGCTGTGGCCTTGTTCCCAGGAGGCCTCATTAAGTGGAGGAAGGGGTGGCAGGGTGGTTGAGTGGCCCAGTGGACAGAGCCAGGGCCCTGAGGCCCACCCGTCACCAGACTGAGATTCCTCAGGTCTACTGTTAACCTCTCTGAGCCTCAACTTTCTCATCTGCAACGTGGGACTGAAACTGCCTACTCCAAAGGGCTGTTGTGACAACTGTGTGAGGTGATGGGTCCAAAAAATCTCAGAGAACAGGTACTGAACAAAAGTTCTGCGGTTCTACTTGTATTTAAGCAAAATGGGAGCTAGGGCAGAGGGGGCTTTATCTGCACTAGAAACATCGCTCGGCTGGACCTTTGGAAAGGAGGGGGAAGCGGAAATGAAATAGAGGGGTTTCAAGGACTCTGATTTTTATTTTTTCTTTATTTTTTCTTTATTTATTTTTTTCTGTGGCCGCACCGCGCAGTATTCAGACCAGGGATTGAACCCGCTCCCCCTGCAGTAGAAGCTTTGAGTCTTAACCACTGGACCACCAGGGAAATCAGGACTCTTATTTTTTAAAGGACACTTGCCCTCCTCACTCCTTTTTCTTTCATTTTCTGAGTACTTAACGAATTGCCAGAACTAGGCTAGACCCTGTCAGGGATTCAAAAAAGTAAGACAAGCTCCCTACCGGCAAGGAGACTGCAGTCACTCCCTTCTTTTACACGGAAACGTTCCAAGTTTAAGGACACAGCTGGCTCTCCCGCCCTCCCTTCTGGAGGAGTGACAGCCCTAAGAAGCAGTGCACCAATCAAAGTTTTGTCAATTAACCACATTTCTGATACCTTGGATTGACAACACACTATTTGAGGGACCTCGGGATAAATTCGTTTTAGAAGGAGAAGAGACAGCCCCTAAGTGACAAGGACACGGCCTGCAATCCATAGAGAGGTGGCCCTGCCATATCCCAGCTGAGTGATTCTGGGCCATGATGTAACCTTTGTGAGTCTCTGTAACCTGTGTGTAAAACAGGGAGAGGCAACCCCAAAGCACCCGTTTGTTGTGGATACCAGAGGAGGTAGGCATGGAAAGTCTCTGAGTGCGTAGGCGATACATTTCAATAGCATTACGTTTCTCTTTGACTTCTCTCTAAATTCAGATTTTAGTAGGTTACCTTTACGTAGAAGGACTTTGTTATGTAACTGAATCGTCTTATTTCCTCCCTCAACCTGCGTCGCGCTCTTGGTCACCTCCCAGACACCCAGCCTAGACACCCCGTCTCCCTCACCTCCTGCATCCAATTACTGGCCAAGGCATGTCCAGTTTACCTCTCCAAACCGTCTCCTCTCTCCATTCCAACTTCCAACTTCAAGCCTCCAGTCTCTCCACCTGGAATTTCATCAGAACTTCCTAACTGGATTTCGTCCTCCAAGTTTCACCCTCCAACCCAGCCTTCCCACGGCTGTGAGGGTCACCTTCCTAAAGATCGGATCGGGCACTGCCACTTTCCTCCCCAAAACTTCTGAGAGGTATCCCTCTCCTACAGAATAAATTAACTCCAACTTTCTATCAAATCGTTTCAGACCCTCCTTACCTGATCCCCAGCTGTCAACCCCATCTCTGCTCCCTTCTGAGAACCCCACATCCAAGCACACTGAGCAATCACTGTTCCCCAGACACACCAGGTGCTTTCTTACATCTGAGCAGGCTAGTCCCTTAACCTCGAATGTGCTTTTCCAGATTCCCCAGTGTCACACTTCCGTTCCGCTACACTCCTACCTATGTTCCTTATATATCTGGTAAGAATCGATTTCCCTCTACCACTAGGGTACACGTTCCTTGGGGGTAACGATTATATTTTACATTCATCTTGGAATCCCCCATAATGTCTGGCATGTAGTATGTGTTCCATACGTTTGCTGAATGAAGGGGTGAATGTTCTAGATGTGACTAAATACAGGCTATATTGTATGCTGTAGTGACAATGATTAAATGTTTGGGGGACGAGGGGAAAGTGTGGTTAACTTATTTGCACATCTGCATTCTTGACTACTTTCGTATTCCCCCTCCCCCACCTCCTATACACCCACACGGCGACTCTCTTTTACCTAAATCACATGATCTGATGCACGGTCTTAGCAGGGAAGAGATTTAAAATCAGAACAGTCCCAGAAAATCCAGCCCATATGGCAGGTGGGCTATTTTTATTAAGATATAATTCATCTGTCAAAAAAATTCACCTTTTAAAAGTATACAATTCAGCAGTTTTTCGTATATTCATAAGAGTTGTACAACCACCACCAGTATCGAATTTCAGAACATTTTCATCCCTTTCAAAAGAAAACAGTGTAGTGGCACCTCACTCCCTCTCCCTTCCAGCCCCTGGCAATCACCAATCTACTTTCTGTCTCTATAGATTCTGTACATTGCCTATAAATGGCCTTTTGTGACTGGCTTCTTTCACTTGTAAGTTTTTCAGACTTCACCCATGTTGTAGTGTGTATCAATACTTTATTGCTTTTTATTGCCCAATAAGACTCCATCGAAAGGATATACCACATTGTGTTTATCCATTCACCTTCTGATGAACATTTGGGTTGTTCATCCATTCATCTGATGAACATTTGGGTTGTTTCTCTGCGGCTATGGTGAATAATGCTCTAGCTGCCTTTAACGCTGATCTGTGAGAGGTGAGGCTGTGGTTAGTGGAACCTACAGGAAGGGCCTTCCCTTACTGAATTATTGTCTGAGAGCAGCTTGCAAAGAAGGCTTTGAGGAAAGGGTCACCAAGGGAAGGGACGAGAGGAAGGCACTAAGTGGCTGGTCCATCTGGGGGGGACATCGTCTCTGGAGGGCAGGCTGACCAAGCAGAAAAGGGGAAGGACAGGGCAGTCCCAAGCAGACTTACCTCCAGAAGTGATAGAAAAGTAGAGGGACGTTCAGCCCCAGGGTGAGCCACTCCTGAGCACACAGAAACATGATGCAGAAGAGGCTGTGGATGGAGTATTCTGGCAGCACCAGCTGAAGAGGGAGCAGAGACACAGGCCTGCGTTAGAGGGAGGAAAAGTCACTCCTGCTCCTATAGCGGCTGACGTCCGCCTGCCTGGACACCTCCTCTGACATGCTGGTGACACAGAGGTCCTCCCCGCAGCATCACAGAGTCACTGCCCCTGGACTGTGACCCGTTTCTGGTAAGTTCTCCTCTTTAAGGTACCGGAGCCATGCTTTATACCCAACCCAAAAAGGACACAGGCCCTCAGCACCCTACTTACCAGAATAGGGCACTTGCTTCAGGGGGTCACCTGTGGATGACCACAGGTGGGAAGAGTGGAAGAGGCCATCCAGCCCCTGTGATGTCTGGCCCAAGGCAGGACCCACTGGAAGAAATACTGATAGGCTTTCTAGTGATTCTATAACTGCCCTGCTCGTGTTCTCCTAGGCCCTGGGTATCCTCCCATAGAAACTCCAAACCTAAAGCAAATATGTATATACTGTTCAAACACAGGAGCGCTGGGGAAAAAAGTGAGAAACAGCATTTTTCTTCATGCTGCATGGATGAAGAGGAACCCAAGAGTAAGAACACGTAGTATATGACAAAACAGGGAAAGTTTAGCCTCTGGAGGAAGGGGAAAGAAACCAGCCCAGACCAAGAAGGGTCAGACAGTGGAAGGCAACCAACAGGAAGACTAAGCTCCGTGAGCCCAATCTACCTGCGCCGGTGTAAAAAGAGCTTAACATGATTGTGAACCCACCCCCCACCCCCCGCAAGGGTGTTTACATCTTAACAGAAATCAAAGTTGTAACAAAAATCAAAGTGACTGTAAAGGAGAAATTTGGTCCCCGGGCCAGTAACAAGGAAACCCCAAAATAGAGATATTAATGTACCATCTTTCCCAATCATATAGGAATAAATATTTAATGAATGAATAGTTAATGAATTAGTTATTTCATTAATAGTTAATATTTAATGAATTAATAGTTAATATATATATTCATTACGTGTATATACATGTTCATATATATACATGGGGGGATAGCCTCTGTGTGTCATTTAGACCAGCGGTCCCCAACCTTTGTGGCACCAGGGACCAGTTTCATGGAAGACAATTTTCCATGAGGGGATGGTTCAAGGCGCTAATACGAGCGATGGGGAGCGATGGGGAGCGATGGGGAGCGGCAGATGAAGCTTCCGCTCACTCGCCCACCGCTCACCTCCTGCTGGGTGTCCCGGTTCCTAACAGGCCGTGGACCGGTACTGGTTTAGACCACGCTGAATGCTTCGCTCCGTCTAGCAAATTCTAACCATCCTTCAAGGCCCATCTCAAACAGCACTTTCTAATGGAAGCTCGGCCCATACACCTCACCTCACCCCACCCTGCAGCCCCACAGCATGCTTTCCGACCCTCACTCAGGGGGACTTTCCATAACCTGTCCACGATGGAGTCATTACCTTCTTTCCTACCTCTCGACACACACGGATCTACCCCACTAGTCTATGAGCCGTCTTGGCCAAACTCTATTCTTTTCTCATCTCTATTTGCAAAGTGCTTTTTCGTACTTAGCAGAGACTGAACAAGTATTTGATAAAATGAATTGAACTGACCAAGCGCATATGTTTGGAGCATGGTTGGCTGGCATTAGGGATGCAGCCTGTGGTCACAAACCAAGATTTCTCTGGGGGGAAAACAAACTGCCTTGAACTCTCCTGTTTGGGGAAAGAACATGACTTTGGTCTCATTCATCTCTCACTTTAGTCAGATGAGCTAACTGCCCCAGATGGGAAATACAGTGGGGGACACACATTTGAAATAAATACATGCAGAGGCACAGGTGTTAAGAAATGCATTTTGTAACTAAGTGGCATCTTCTTCATTCTCAAGTCCAGTGAAGAATGAATTGCATGGGCCGCCTCTTAGAATTCTGGGGCAATAACCCTGGAATCAACGTACAAGAGCCAGCGGTCCAGAGGCAGTGGCCTCAGTGGGTGAACCGGCACAGCTAGCCCCTGTGGGCCTCAACGACCTGGTGGGAGAGGGTACGTCCCAACATTTCTCCTCACAGGACCTTGCAGCCATCCTTTCCAACCCCATCTGCGGCCAGCCAAGACACCACCTTACCTCCTCCCGTTCGAGGAGAAAGCCCCCGTTCTCAGCCTGCCAGCCCCAGGGGGTAGTGGCTGTGACCTCTACTGTGCATATCTCTACATTTTTTAATCATCGATTTCAGCCACTTAGGCCGAGGTAATTAACATGTTAAGAGACAGCCACCCCAGGCCCGGATCATCCCCGTCTCACAAATCTCTGACTGATTACAGTTTGGATCTCAGGTCCCTCTATTCAGCACCACTGTTTCTTCTCTCTTCGAGGCTTGATTTATAGCGGAAGCTGCAACCTGCTGAGCAGGGAGGATTTGTCACTGTCACCACACTGAGGAAAACTGATTAAGGGAGGCCAGCTGGGTCCAGAGGTGCCCCACCTGCTGGGCGTGGGATAAAAGCTGCAGAATCCATGCTGCTCTTCGGGGTGGCTTCTCCCCAGCTGCCTCTTCCTAGCACTGAGCAGCGCATCCTTGCAGGTGGGAGGGGGAGGGTTCCCTTTATGTCCACACATTGTTTCTCTCCCGCTTCCCCAGGCAGTCCCTGTCGCAATGGCAGGGGAGACTTATGGACCCAGTGAACCCTGGCCGGGTCATGAGCACCAGCCTTGACCAGCGGGCATTACTGCTTCCCTCCACACACTTCCCGGAGTATCCGTCGTCGGGAAGGTGGGGCCAAAGGGCTGTGAGCAGAAACGGCTGGAGCATTTACCAGCCGATGCAAAGCGCTCCAGGCTCTCTCTCTCTGCATCTGACACAGCAAAACGCACTTAGGCTGGAGGGTCCTCCAGCATCCTGAAGCCATAGGTGAGGAGAGGCGTGCTGGGGCAGCCGGTGATGGACACCAAACATGAACAAGAAAGAAATTTGTGGGGTGTTTTGGGGGTTTTTTTGGCTGCCCCGCGGGGCATGTGGGATCTCGGTTCCCCGACCAGGGATCGAACCCGTGCCCCCTGCCACGGAAGTGCGGAGTCCTGACCACTGGACTGCGTTCTAAGCTACTGAGATTTGGGAGTTGTTTCTTAACCACAGCGTGATTTAGCCCATCCTGTCTGGTACAAAATGAGTAATCAGTGAGAAAAGCAAAGCGGTAATCATTCCTCTTTATCCTTCCCCTGATCAGCCAGCCCGCCTTTCCTTTCACAAGCACTGGGCACGCTGAGGCAGGGGCTGAATGACCACCAGGCGGGCATAATGCTTATTCATTCGTGTGGGCAGTTGGACTAGCTGTCCCCTCCCAACTTTGCTTATCTCGGTTATACAAAGACCGCCCCTGAATCTCCGCGGCCAACCACAGAAACACTGAGGGGAGGACCAACCGCCCGCCCTCCATCCTGAGTCATACCCTCACACTGCAGAACACTGTTTCCTTCATAAGACAAGCTGTTGGAATGGTGCCACTCTCATTCTTTCATACAACAGAGGGACTGTTTCACGCAGGCCACAGTCTATTGAATTCCCGTGTCTTATTATGCCCTGCTTTACAGAGTTATAAATACTAAATAAGTGGTCTCAATACAGGTATTGTGGGGTTGCTGAAAAGACTGCAATTCACTCCAACCAGGGGGGCTCACAGAAGGTTTTGCGATCAAGGCGGAATCAAGGGAACTTGAAAGGATGAGTAAAACCTCATCATGCGAGGAAGCCAGAGGTCAGCATTCCAGGAAGAGGAACCGTGAGAACAAAAGCAGAGAGGTGACAGTCACCACCTGGGCGGGCTCTGCACAAGCCCATCTAAAACGGCCACTTACTCATCATTTAATGGATTAACGCCAGGCCTGATGTGGGTCAAGTTCTGGGTGAATGTTCATTTTATTCCCCTCCTGCTGGGACCCCAGCCTTCTCATCCCCTGGTGCTGGAGGCCTTGTGTGTCACCATCGTAAACTGAGGGGTGGGGGCCTGCCATGAGAGTATGATGACAACACAGCCTCCTCCCACTATCTCCTGCCCTGATGTACGCATAAGTCCAATGTCAGGTGAAGCTCTCAGCGCACGCTAGCAAAGCTCAGACACTTGTCAGTGCAGACTTCAAAGATTTCACCCACTCCCCGGCTTCTTCCATCACTTCTAAGAGGATGGATGCGGCATCTGGGAAGGATCGCCTGTCCTGACTTCCTGCCCAGATTCTCGTCCTCAATTTTCATTTCCTGGCAGTCATTTCCATCCCAATAGTCCGCAGCCACCGTGTGCTGAAAACTCACTCTCTCCTCCCAACACCTGTAACCTTTATCTCCTAAATTTCCGATTTCTGCTAATAATAGCCACCTCTGATTTCTCGGTCTCATCCATTTGCTCACCCGTCTGTTTCCAAACCTTGTCATTTCTTCTTCACAGCCACCTGGATTTGTTTTTCCTTTTTTATTTCTCCTGCCCCTTACTGGTCTGGGCCCCTGCACATCCTCCCAAGGCGGGGCCGGAACCTTCTAGCAGGTTTCTGTCCCTGGACACTGCTCCCTCTGTCCAGCAGAGCACCTACCTCTTCTCTGTAAGTGCCACATTCAGCTCCGCTCTAAGCTTTCATCCACAACCTTGTTTTCCCGGAAACTTTATTTTATTTGTATTAAAAATATTTTATTTCTACTTATGCATCATCTCATTCATTCATGTATCCATTCATGCTCCGGCTTTAGCCCCCAAGTGATTTGCAGCTGACTGGTAACCTTTACCTATGATGGGAGAATACTATAATAATGGATCGATGTCTTATTTCATTGCTGTGGAGAGGGGTATCAGGAAGCAAGAAGAGAAGCTCTTCTAACCCCCCAGAGGGAGAGGAAAGAGAGAGGGGATGCTTGGAGTGGAAGCAAAGGAATGAAGCTCCCTGCGGGAGAGCGGGGATTCCCTAAGACTGGGGAGGAGGGGGCGGTGAAGTAGGAGAAGGCGTGGCCAGCACCCTAGTGCTGGAGATGTGCTCCTGGCTCCCACC